ATCTGGAGTGCTTTGATTATGAAGGGCTTTTGATCAGAGGAACTGGAGCTATCTACTTTCAGATTAGATCTGATTGCCTCCCGTCCCCCAAGGCTCTGTATGATCTTTACGGGTTTAAAACATCTTGAATATAATGAAGAGGAAACGGGACCAGTAGATGCAACACGTAGCCAGATACGCATACCCACGGTCACTGGTATATAGATACGTTATGGGAAGGTGTCCTACTATAAGAAGTGAGGCAATAAGTCGACCAGATCACCTTGATCTATACCGCAAGCAAAACAATGTACATCACCTGTAAAGTGAATGTAAATGCCTGCAAATAATAATTTACACCTTTCATCATAAGGTTTACGTGTTCATTTGTTTATACAAGAGAAATATAACAGCAAGGGAAGTGTATCATAATATTTGGCTTAGGTTATCATAGGTTACAGCTTCATAATTTATCTCTTTGTTGTGTAATATCTACGAGATTATCATTTCCCCATGAATATAACAATAATAATTCATTACTTGTCACTGAATACACATAATGTGATCAATGCAATTATTTATGTAAAATGTAAAAGTTTCTTCAAGCATAATTAAATTGAACCTGAAGATAGCATTCTTATTTATTTTCTTTTGTATTAAAAATATTAATAATTAATATTTTATGGTAGGGTAAATCCACGTGGATCATTCTTATTTATTTTCTTTTATATTAATAATAGTAATAATTATTATCTTATGAGAGGGTAAATTAACGGTGATCATTCCAGCGCAAGTAATGGTGGAGGCTCGATCCTACGTTCGCTAATCCCGAAACGAACTTACTACTCCCGCAACCAGAATTTGCTTCTTTTATAATAAGATTAGGAAGAAGGTTGTTGGAGTGTTTACTCTTCATCGTTTGCTTTCAAGCCATGGCTGGTGTAGGCTGTAGTGTGGGCGTCTTGCCTCACATTTTCACCCATGGCGCGTGTTATTGGGTAACCCAGAACGAAAGTCTACTGTGTATTTCTGGCGTTATCAGCCTCGTGGTTACCACTGTTGCGTCCATTCAGATTGCTGTGGTTTTTCCTGCCAGTTATTTATACATTCCCTCACCAGCCACTATTATTATCTTCATAATTTACTACTTTACCGTGTGAGTGTAGGTGATATATATAGATTTATGTAACAGTTAATACTAACGCTTTAATAATTATATAATATATAATATATATATATATATAAAATATATAATATATATATATAATATATATATATATATATATATATATATATATAGTGTGTGTGTGTGTGTGTGTTTGTGTTTATTTTTATGTATAAGGAATACTGGGGACCAAACTTGTGGCCTTTCATTTAAAAATCTGCGACTGTGCCGACTTAGCTAGCGAGTGTGAAAAAAAAATGTGGATCTGATGCTGTTCAACTCACTTTCATAGAGTTCTGGAAGACACACAATCGTGGATACGCCATCTAGTTCAGCTGCACATCACTCACCGATTCTAGCCATAAAGTGAGAATTTCGTCATATCGTTGAGGCTACCCAAATAGTTCTCTTGAACCCACCAGGCTTTACTTCTCCATACATCATCTGTATCCTCCATTCAGCCCATCTTTATACTCCCTAGTTTAGCGCTTAGTTTTGATTATATAATGATAATATACTCCATACATCTTGCGTCCACTGCAGTTTATAGATACACCCTCATTACCAGTCTGTCTTCCTTCTTTCTGCATGACCACACCATGGAAACATTGCCCCTCTCGATCACTGAGTTCTCTCTTTCAAGTCATTACATGGATACAGTTCTATCTTTCAAGTCACTACATCGATACGGTTCTATCTTTCAAGTCACTACATCGATACAGTTCTATCTTGCAAGTCACTACATCGATACAGTTCTGTCTTTCTAGCCACTACATCGATACAGTTCTATCTTGCAAGTCACTACATCGATACAGTTCTGTCTTTCTAGCCACTACATCGATACAGTTCTATCTTGCAAGTCACTACTTCGATACAGTTCTATCTTTCTAGCCACTACATCGATACAGTTCTATCTTTCTAGCCATTACATCGATACAGTTTTATCTTTCAAGTCACTACATCGATACAGTTCTATCTTTCAAGACACTTCAGCGACTCTGGCTTTCTCGGCAGTTTTAATGAATAAATATAATGTATAGTGTTCCTGTGTTATTAAATGCGGGCCACCAGCAGCAATAGTCTGATTGAGACCTGGGAAGTATGGCATCAATACAAGCAGTTAGAGTAAAAACTAGTATGGAATCCTTTTAATTGTAATAGAAATGATTCGGTTTTCGTAATTGTAAATACCAAATGTGAAGTTTGTTACCTGTTTGAGACTGTTGAAGGTGATCACTTTTTATTGCAGAGGAAGAACAATGTAGGCGTGATGGACGAGAGTACAGTTGGTTCCTGTGTCTTAGCAGATGCCAACGACACTTGTCAGTAGCCATTTGGCCTGTAAGGTGCTGTTTGTGTGTGTGTGTGTGTGTGTACATACGTACGTACTCAGGTATATGTACTCACCTGGATGAAGTTGCAGGAATCGAGTCACAGCTCGTGTGTGCGCTAGCTTTCACACATGCAATTATCTGTTTGGGGTTGCGGGGATCGAGTCTGCTCCTGGTGCTGCTCTTAACTTGCCGCTAGCCTTGTGGGGCTCTAATATACATTTTCTTCAAACAGTGTATAGCGCCTGCCTCTACCACTTTTTCGTCCAGGTCATTCGACTTCCTGACCACCTTGAGGCTAAAGAAATAATTTGACGTTTCTGTGATTCATCTTTTTTTTTTTTTAACTATCCATTGTGTACTGGTTTCTCACCTGTTTATCCACATCACGTGCCCTTGAGTATTTTGTCTTAAACATATTTACCCCTGGGTCTTCTATTTTCTGTCGTGTTAGTTTTCATACTTCATTACTCTTAGCCCTAGGAGTAGTGTAGTTGCAAAAGACTGCATTTTCTCCTGTTTCTTGACATGCTTCGTTTTGTTGGTGATGCAGTTCTCCAGGATGAACATCGCATTCCTGAAACCTCACCCAGGTTAATCGGTTAATGTGTTCCTTTGGAGATATGCTCTGCACTATGCTCTCCCCTAGGTTTCTTGGAGGTGTAGTTTGCAGGCTAGGTCCTCCGTGTCTACTCCAATTCCCGGTCTTCTTACCCCTGTTCCCAGAGTTAAAAAGTGTATTTGCTGGGAGGTTGAATTCGGACAGCTACTTGTCTGAATAATTTAGCATTTTGTCCAGGTCGACCTTTGTGTCCTCATCAGTTTTTGTTCACATGTTCCTCGTCTCGTATCTCAGACTCAAAGGTGTGTGTAAGGGGGGAGGGGGGGAATGCGTACATGGTCTCTCTTTGATTCGCTTTCTGAATAGGCTTCGTGACTGATTTAGACTTTTAGTGCTTGCAGCATTAACAGCCTGTTCCTGATCAACCACCTTGTGGCTGATCAGGAACGCATTTCAGAAATTTAGGTTTCCTCTTGAAGACAAACTTGTTCGTAATTGCCTTTGAATTTGATGAGATATTAAAAAAATAGTGGAATGTTAATGTTTATTAGTACGTAATTACTTGTTAGGGTTTGCAGAAGGCGAGCATAAGCTCATGGAGTCATCATCGAGAATAAGATTGGATTGGATTTACGTAGCTCTTTCGTGTTTTCGTTTGAATCTGTGGTGCCAGCCTTGTCGGAGAGCGGGGCCTGAGAACGATGATTTTTGAAGTCATCCCCTTCAGGAGGTTGATTACCTGCCATTCCCCAGGATTTAGCACTAACCAGGAGTGTAATATTTCCTTGGTAGATGAGACTCAATCTTATTTTTTTTCACCCAGTTATTGATGTGTAATAGAGGCGTGATCTTGTGTGATCTTGCGTTAATGGCGAGAAGAGCTCTGAATAATTCTGTATTAGATAAAGTGAGACACTCCATGTATTCAAAGGAAACTTGTATGTGCTGTACTGGTGACAGAGTTGTCGTGCCAAATAGGTAAAACTTGCGATTTTGACTTAAATAGCAACGCTTTTCTTGCCGAATACGGCAAGCGATAATTTGTGTATGCAATAATTTCGCAAAAATCATTCTGAACCTAACGAAAAAAAATATGTTTAAGTGTGTTTGTTTAAATTATTGTAAACTTATCTAAAATATATTTAGTTGGATTAGGCTAAATTAAATTGCGCTTGTTATAATAAGGTTAGGTAAGCTTTCTAAGGTTATTTTGGTACAAAATTATTAATTTTTACATTAACATAAATTAAAAAAATATGTCTTTAAACGTATGAGAAAATTTTAGAAAGGACTTAATTTTAAACGAGTTCTTGCTAAGTGACCACTTTTACCTATTCGGCACGATATATATATCGTGCCGAATAGGTAAAAGTGGTCACTTAGCAAGAACTCGTTTAAAATTAAGTCCTTTCTAAAATTTTCTCATACGTTTAAAGACATATTTTTTTAATTTATGTTAATGTAAAAATTAATAATTTTGTACCAAAATAACCTTAGAAAACTTGCCTAACCTTATTATAACAAGCGCAATTTAATTTAGCCTAATCCGACTAAATATATTGTGCCCACGAACGAGTGGTATTGATCAGTAACAACACTGCGACTAGTCAAGGACTCGAACGCATGCTGCTTTGACCTGCCTCATGGTGGGCGAAAAGTTTTCGCCCACCATGAGGCAGGCCAAAGCAGCATGTGTTCGAGTCCTTGGCTAGTCGCAGTGTTATTGATACATTGATACATTGATATATTGATATATTGATATATATATATATATATATATATAATATATATATATATATATATATATATATATATATATATATATATATATATATATATATATATATATATATATTATATATATATATATATCCCTGTCACGTAATTCTAATATCTTATTACATGTATATGCTTATATATTTTTTTAATGTTTAATGTAAATTATATTTTTCCCCACTTGCAGACCTCTGTATTCAACAGGGTATATAAATCACATAGTGAAGTGTGAATATATTTATGAAGTGTGAGCAGATATATAAACCCAGAGAAAAGGCGCCTTTTGAACGCTTATAATAGAAAGTGAGACGTGTGCGGGCGAACAGGACCCCGGAGAAAGTTAACTGAGTGAGAGGCAGGTACTCACGATTACCACCCCTACCTTCTGCTGCTGAAGACTACTACTACTACTACTGCCTGCGTAGAACGACTACTGTTTGCTCTAGAAGTCCACTATTGCCTGTAGGAAATCCTCCCATCCTTAACACCTTGGCAAGGTAAGTGACATATTTCTGTTGGTGGTTTAATTGGAGGCTGGCTGTTCCTGAAGGGCTTCAACACTTCTGAAGGGCGGGGGCTGAGCTCTTGTAAGTGGAGCTGGAATTTCCTGAAGGAAATTTGTAATGCTTAAGTTACCTTCAGCTCCGGATACTTGACCGGATTTTATTGAAGCTCTGCGTTACTTGAAAATGGATTCGAAAAGATTTGAACACTGCTGGAGCAGCTTTCTGACATCTGGGTCTTTAAGTCTCTTGACCCGAGTCCAAGTTGCAAACCTTATCACTCGTTTACACTATACTTACTTTAAAAACTCCTGGTCCTTCCCTCTACACAGTAACTTAAGATAAAGGCCCCAACACCAGAGGTTCCCAAAATTTTCAAGTACAAGAACCTCCTTTTTAATTAAAAAAAAAAATTGTCAACTCCCAGTGCTAAAAGTTGTATTGTTTTCTTCCAGGGCCGTGTCTTCTAGGACACAGCTCATCTAAAGCTTATTGTCTCAACATGAGAATAATATGTGAACAAAAAGACACTTCGAAGAACAAATTTTTATATGTACGATGTTTCAAAAATGTGTTTTCTTCGGGTTAAAGACCGTGGCTAGGACAACAACATGAACAGATATTAATAAACAGTGCAGCATGTGCAGAAAGTGATAATTCCCTCCTGTAACAATTTCTCATCTTAGAATTTTTTGCATTTTTTGTTATAAACTCCGTACTTGTGCAACGTTACATAACGTTACTACTAAATTGTTTCGTTCACCAGGAATTTTGTAGAGCCTGTTGACAAAGCCCCTGGTGGGTCAGACCTTAAAATATTATAATATTATAGGATTTTATACTTTGTTTACAACGTTGCAATTTAAGTTTTCTTTGACAACGACTAGGGTAATTCTTTTTATAAACTAGTCATTGTTGATTGTAAAGTTGACTAAATAACATAGAAGCTGCATCAAATACAGAATCATTCACGGCTGCATTTCTTTTTGCACACGGTTAGAGCTTAGCTTGTTGAATACGACAAGTAGCCATTAAAAACGTTAGCTTCGTCAACCTTTTTTAAAAATCCAAGATGGACACCAAAAAGAGATTGTTTACTCAAAGACTGGTCAGTTGTGAATTTAAAGGATATGCCTCAAATTTATCTTAAACGTATCCTGATATAATGCATTTATATAATCGGCATATTTATAACAATTTAGAAAAATGCACAACACCATAGTTTACATATTTGAATAAACAACATGTGCAGAGCAAGCTACTGTGTATTGAGATAAGGTTCCAACGGTCTTACTCATCTACCGACAAGTAGATGAGTAAGACACGTGTGCCACACTTGGACATCTTTGTTTCGCCTGCTTAGCAGTCTTCTTAGTTGAATAAAGAGGTGACTTAAATATTGGAGACAGCAGAAACGGTGCAGAGTTAAATTTATGTACGAGCTTTATCAAGCCACAATAAAAAGCTTGCTCTGCTCCTGTTTTTTTTTCATCAATGCTGTGGGTAATGAACCTCTGTATCTGCTATGCTACAAAGTGGTGAAGAAGTGTGCATTGATATAATTCTTCCCTCCACCCATTTTTGTTTTAAACCTAGTCATTAAAATTCAGATCTGTTTTTGATTTAATAAACTCAAGAGTAGTTACACAATTTTTCATGAGGGTAATCTGGTTCCAAACATGGGGAATTTAGTTTATTTATAACGTATTTATACAGCCTCTTGTTGATACGAGTTGTCACAAGATTTCCCGAAGAGGCTGCTTCTAGTGGTGTCACCCGTCTCTAGTGCTGGCCCACGTAACCATTATAACCCGACTGATCTGCCACTTATAGAAGGGACTTGACCAGTTTCTTGAAAGCTTCTGTCGTCGTTCCTGTAATATTTCTGATACCTCCTTGTAATAATATAACAGTCTTTAACCACGGATGCTGACTTTGTTCTCTAATTGTACTCAGCCCTTCTTACAAAAGGGGGATTACCAACAAACCCTGACTGTCTTCAAGAGTGATCCGGTTAAGAGTTCTCCAGTCAGTTCCTGATCAGAGGGGCTGTGGTGGTTACATTTCACTCTATGTAACTAGCACCAACAGCCTGGTTGGTCAATTCATTCACCAGGAAGCCTGGTCTGGGACCGGGCCTCGGCGGGGGGGGGGGCCTTGACCTTCGGAACATACACCAGGTAGGTAGGTAGATGCACCCTTCTTGTTCTTCATTGCATATATAACATCTTGTTGATAAAGTCAGTCGTCAGATGTGTCATTGGCACTGAGTATCACCCAAGAGGCTTGGTACAGATCGTGTTGTGGGGGCGATGATCGCAGGGCAGTTCTACCCGGGTGCACTCACCTTTCAAATTACAATAACCTGTCTTGCAGGTGCACGATATTATTTTACGTTAAGGCGACTAGATCATCTGCAACGCTGCTTAACGCTGCCATCTTGTCTGATTTAATGTATAGCGAATGATCAAGTGTGAGGAAACGTGTCCTCTAGTCTTGCTTCCCGCAGTCTTTCGCAACCAAGAACTGTATTGTTTGTATCTTGCCGGCCACTATGAAGCAGTTGGTACTATTATGGAAGAGTTGGCGCCGGTATTGAAGACAATGCGAGGAAGAATTAGAGACTTTGAGGTGGGATACTTAACCGAATATAATTGTGCATTTTAAAGAGGAATGTAGTTTTCAGTTATCAATAAATGTTTGTAGCCAGTTGTCTAAACAAACCCCTTTACGCCAGTCTGTGTAGCAATTAATTTAGGGTATTTACATTTTTTTGTACCATTTAATTAAAAAGACTTATTTTCAATGATGTCTAAATCTGAGTACAAACGACAATTATTCGGCATTATTTCCAAGGGTTTTAAATTATCGTAAAGAGGAACGTAGCATATCATTGGCTAGGCTCTTCTGTAAATCGCTACTAACTGGCATAGTGCCGGATATGTGGAAAATGAAAGATGTGATACTTGTTTACGAAGCGGGTGATAGGCCCATATGTTCTTCTTAGATTGTCAATAAAACACATTATGTTGTGGTCATTTTTAATGAATTTTAGCAAATATAAATGGCAGAGATTGGAGAAGAGGGATTTTTTGTGTGTGAGAATCTGCTGAGGGAGGAAAAATGGCCGAGGGTGTGAGAGGTCGAGGGAAGAAACCCGAGGGTGTTGGAACAACCTGTTCTCCAGTTAGGGCTTCCAGTTTAACACTGTTCCGCTCCGTGAATTTCTGAATGCTTGGACTTTCATGGAAATTTAAATGCTTGTTGTTTTCGATCCTGTTAAAGTTTAGTTTGGTTCGGTTAACGTTTATTAAATAATATTTCTGTATAATTACCCGACAATAATGACATGAAGTAAGACAGGTTAGGGTGGCTTATGCCTGGCAGCGCCAGCAGACGTATGAAACTCGAGCGTGTATTTTCACACGCATGGAAAAAAATGTGGAGGACGGGTTGGTTGGAGAGTAGAAGTTGAGGATGGCAGGGTTACTGACCTGAGATAGAGGTTATGTTGCCACGTGGTCCGCCGCCCACCTGCTGCCCACTCTTTCCTTCTTTCCTACTCACCCACTTCTAACCCACCCATCCACTCTTGCCTAACTGCCTCCTTGCCTGCTCTTATTTCACCCCTGCTCACAGCATACGTTTATTTCCCCAGCCTTCCCTGCTTTCTGCCTACTTCTCCCCCTATCTCCTGCTTACTCTTCCCCGTTGACTACTTTCTCCCTGTTTTCTCCCTGCATACGGTTCTCCCGTAACTACTCCCTGCCTACTAACCCACCTCCACCATCCAATCACGTTTCTATGACACACTGACCCACCCACCCATTTTGCCCCAGCACTCTTTGAGACCACCCCTATCGTTTGTAGTGCACTCACCACCCACTAGGCCATCCCATCCATTCGTCTTTCTCTGCCATCCACCCAGTCATTGCAGGTGTGCGCTACCATGTTCAGTTTTGTAGACCTTGGCATATATAATTCACATTGACAAAGAAAAACCTTGGCTAGGTCACATGTATATTCTGTATACCTACGACCAAACTAGCGTGGCGTGGCTATAAATGCGCACATACACGTACAACTGTAGTAAGCGCTGGTCATTGGCACTAACGAATATAGACTATAAAACTGGCAATAATGTAAATTCTGTATATTTATGTTGTTAATTTTTTAGGGCATCGACGTGTTGTGCTGTGTGGGCCTTGTAGTACTGTGTATGACGGCGTAGTCGGGATATTTAGGTTAGTCTCACAATATGCAAAATAACCAGTGGAAAAAATTCCAAGATCTTTCGTGAATTTTCACACTACTATTCACGAAAACTCTTGGAATTTCATTATTTTTTTCACTGTGGTTATTTTACATATTGTAATATCGCCTGTTTACTGTGATTTGTGTGTGTGTGTGTGTGTGTGTGTGTGTGTGTGTGTGTGTGTGTGTGTGTGTGTGTGTGTGTGTGTGTGTGTGTGTGTGTACTCACCTATCTGTAGTTGCAGGGGTTGATTCGTAGTTCCTGGCCCCGCCTGTTCACTGATTGCTACTGGGTCCTCTCTCTCCCTGCTCCATGAGTTTTATCAAGCCTCGTCTTAAAACTATGTGTAGTTTCTGCCTCCACTACGTCACTTTCTAGGGTATGCCACTTCCTGACAACTCTGATGAAATAAATCGTAACGTCCCTTTGACTCATAGGAGTCTTCAAACTTCCAATAGTGACCCCTTGTTTTTGTGTCCCATCTCTGGAACATCCTGTCTTTGTCCACCTTGTCAATTCCTTGCATTATTTTATATGTCGTTATCATGTCTTCCCTGACCCTCCTGTCCTCCAGTGTCGTCAGGCCGATTTCCCTTAACCTTTCTTCGTAGGACAATACCCTGAGACTCTGGGACGAGTCTCGTTGCAAACTTTTGCACTTTCTCTAATTTCTTGACGTGCTTGACCAGGTGTGGATAAAAAACTGGTGCTGCATACTCCAATATGGGCCAGACGTATG